GGCGCCTTAGCCGGTTGAGCTATAGGCGCCGAGCCGATTTATGTCTTTTCAAACACATACATGCACAGGCACACAAACACAAGTTGTCTTGTGACCTATTTGAAAGAAAGTTGCAGACATCCCATCCTATCCACATATATTAAACCTACACTCTTAAGAGCAAGGACATTTTCCTATATAATGCGTATTTTCACCCCTAAGAAAACTAATAATCATAATACAATAACATCATGTAATGCACCATCTATATTTAAACTTCCATAGCTTTCCCCAAGTATCTTTTATAGTTGTGTGTTTTTTTTTCTTTATAGGAACCAATCTAGGATTAGGTATAACATTTGAGTATCATATCTTTCATTTCTCTTAACAGAATAGTTTTCTCATTTTTTGTGTTCCATGCTATTTTTCTTAAAAGCCTACTTATGAAGAGTGTTCCAAATTTTATATTGGCTTGATTGTTCCCTGACAATTCGATGTAGGTTAAAGTATTTTTTGGCAGGAATAGTACCTGGGGGAAATATCATGGCTATAGGTAAAGCTAAGTTTGATCACTTGATTAAGGTCGCGCTGCCAGATGCATTTTAAGGATAAACTTTCTCCTTTTTAATTGATAAGTTGCTGGTGGAGTAATACTTGGAGACCAAAATTGGAGCATCCATTGATGATCTTTACAGACTACTGGTGGCTACAAAATTCCCAAAATCTTCCTGTGCTGTCTGCAGACCCGGAAGCGTCTGTTTCTGAAGCTGCACTTCCAGTGTTCGGAAACCATTGTGTCTAGTCTATTCCTCCGTGGACCCCAGCCATGCCTCGGTGGAAGGGCAGGAAGTGAGCCCTGGGATCAGATAGAAGATGAGATAGTAGATCAGGTGGTTACTGTGTTCTAGAAATGCTGGGCAGGGCATAATAGTGAGAAGTAAAAGGGCTATTTTGGTGACTTTCAAGTTTCAATTCTGTATTTCTTGGGTGTTCACAGTTTGTGTTTTCCATAACTTAGCTAACTTTTCCTTCAGAATAGTTTTTTTTTAAAAATTTTTTGGAAGGGAAAAGACGTAAAGCAATATTTATTTGATACATTTCTGTCTTTTCTGCTTTCTTTTTCTTCTTTTTTGCTTGGTCCTTTCTTCTTTTTCTAGAAGGCTTTCTTCTTTTAAAAAATCAGTTCAAATATTTTCTCTGAGTTTTCCCTTTTCTTAATTTACTTCTTCCACTTGTCTGGTCTCTACTTTGTTCTTTAAGTTGATTTGTCCGTCCTGTTATTCTAGATAGGGTGAGGGCTTCAGAAATAAGGCGCTAGGTTCATCTACTTGTAACAATAAAATATCTGACCTTGGAAAATACTCATTTTAAAAGATACAATAAATTCTCAAACAACTATTGATAACTTAGTTGTCTCAGCAGTACCCTGGCTGTTTTAAAATACATTAGTTTGTTAACCACACCCTTTGGTCTTTTATAAAGCTGAAAAATAGGAAGCATTTTTTTTCTTTCCTTTTCTTGGTAATTTCTAACCACATTTTTGCACTGTGGTTTCATGTAAGCAGTTGTTGATAATCAACAGATAAGTGTTGTTTTGTGCAGAAGTCATGTTTATGAAGTATGGGGATGACTGAAAGAACAGTTGAGAAAATGTACATTTAACTTTCCAAAACTCCAGTTACTATGGTGAGAAAGACAAGTGGGTTTTCTGTCATTTTCTCCCTTGTGCCACAAACCACCTTTTGGTTGTTCAAAGATTATTGCCATGATTCATTTCATAATTTAAAATAAAGATTAAACGTTTTTTGATCTCCATGCAATTATTTAGGTATTAAAAAAAAACCCTACAAGGCTTTA